GAATGTTTGTGGCTGTCTTCAGTGTTATATATATATATATATATATATATATATATTCATTAACGTATTTCATTTGTGTTTCGAATTTTCTAACAATATACCTTCTAACGGAAGGGTTGTGAATGCCGTTATATTTTACGACAATATCCGTGATATTATGAATCTAAATTGTTTTTTAATCTGAATTTTTTTATCGTTTTGTGACATTATATTTTTCATACTCAATACACCGTAATGTTTAAGCACCATATTATTTTTTTAAAATAATGCATTTCACTAATGCACAAATGCTTTTATGTTTATTGGAAATGTATTTTTCGAAATGGATTAATCCATTTTAAAAGAAATATTTATTGTTTTATCTGTAACTATAACTTGTTGACGGAATACAAAAAACTCTTATCGCTGTTCTTAATTTCGATTAGTTCAAGCATTAATGCTAAAATAAATGATAGCTCTTGATTGAGTATATATTTTAGGTAATATGAGTGTATATAAAAAGGTATATAAAATGATAATATGAGTGAAAACTGCTTCACTAAACCAACTAATTCAATATCTTGAAACTGTTTTACGAAACATCTTCAACTCATTTAGTACTTTAAACTTACATTTTCTTCATTATTTTATTTTTTTGAATAATATATACTATGAATTGAAAAGTTTTCAAAGTTTATCAAAATTTAAAATGTTATTTTTAATGTATAAGAAAATTTTTTCAACGTTAGTTTTTATTGAAATATTTTGCATAAATTCTAAACTTGAAACTGCGAAATTAATTTCGCATTCTCAAATTGAATAAGATGTTTATTTTGGTACTTTTTTAAAGCTAAATTCAAAACAGGTGTAATGAAAAGCTTAGAAATACACTAGACGAGGAAAACTGATAAAATCTTTTGAAAAATGTCTTGTGTATTTTAAACTCTGCTATGCTGGAATAATTCTACTGTTTTCTTTTATGTAGTTTAAAAGATACGAATCGATACACTATATCTGCTTCACGCTGAAACATAATAACAAATTTAAATATGTATACAAGTTCGTGTTTCAACTTTTCGATGGATTCGAGCAACTTATAAAATTACATATCATAAAAAGATGTTTGTCAAAGTAGGAAGGGTTTTTGAAAGACGCTTCTTCATTTAGTTTTTTAATTTTCTTTTTTGTTTGCTTTACTGATGAAGAATATCAAGTTTTATTATTAACAGAAACTATGAGTAGATAACTACTATATAATAGAAATTAATTTACAGACTTTGTTTTTTTAAACTTATTTCTTGTTAACTTCTACATCAAGTACTTTTTAATCTACTGCATTTTCTAAAAATGAAACTACTTAATTTTATGTGGTTTTACCTTTTTAAGATTATATGATTAATTTAAAGCCTTACGCTCTTTAAACAATTTCCCGGCACATCATATAATGAATTTTCATCTGCTATTCATACACATAGGTCAAAAAAAAGAAGCAAACTATTTTCAAAGGGCAAATGATCTAAATTTAAGCAAGTTTCAGCTCAAGTTGATCCACAGTATTTTATTTTTAAGTTAAAAACGTACTAATGACATAAGGGTTTAAATTTTACTACAGTAGTTTAGACATCTAAAAATCGTTACTTTTCTAATTCGTCACACATCTTAACTCGTTTGCAAATGGAAATACAATAATAATAATAATATATGCATGCATATATATATATATATATGGGCTACTGTCTAAAACNTAAAATAAATATATAAAAATTAAATCCTGAATATTTTATGTTTCAGTGATCTTTTATACACCTACCGTAATATTGCACTAGCTTAATTTGAAATATTTGAATTAATTAATACTAATCATTAAGTACATAATATATCACACAATTATACTTTAAATAAACATCTTTTTTTGGCAAATCTGAATGTTTGATATTCCAAATTGAAGATTTACTTTAATATAGAAAATATAGACACCATTGTTTGTTCAAGAAAGCTGATGAAATTTTGATCACCTCGATATTAATTCCAATTCCATTTTTCCTGAAACTTTTAAAGTAAATAAAAACCTTTCGCATATAATTATAAAACACGTTCTTTAAAAGACAAGTATATGAAAAAATAACTTTTAATAACTATCAATTTTTTATAATATTATATTAAAAATAGTTAAAAAATGTTGGATATTAATTCACGAAATGTTTACTTTCATATGCGTTAACCAATATTAATAATGCGCTAACCAATAATTAACCAAAATGTTTAAAAGTAGAAAAATGTTTGATTTATATAATTTCAAACAAGTAATATTTTTTAATTTCCTTTTTTCGGTGATACTTTTTTCACACGATTATATTTTATTAGAAGGTCAGAGTGTACAGTTTAACTGAAAAAAGGATGACATAAAATTAAAAAAAATATAGATAAATAAACTATTGCGCTTAAGATTAAAAAGTGCTAAATTAAAAAATTCATTCTCAATTTTTTTAAATTTGTCTTAGTTTACTTCCTAACAGTCAAATTGTTTCTACAAAATTGTTATTCAACAAACTTTCCTTAGTATTGATCTTTTATTCACAAATCAGAAACTAGGAGTTAACGTTACACGGGAATTCCACATTTCTAATTGTTATAATTTAAATTTATTTGATTCTAAAGATCACTATAGAATTTTCATTGGAATGCTTTCCCACAAAATTGCAGCTGCATTCTGCCTGGGATAATTCATATTCAATTCAACTTAACATGGGAATTATTCATCAAAATGACCCAACTTTCTAACCTTTGACTTTAATTTATTCTAATGGGTTTAACTGTTTGGAAATAATCTTTGTTTGATTATAAATAGTCATAAATATTACATATTATTGTAATGCAATTTCAATAGAAATTAAATGTATGCGTGACGGATATATAATTCAAATGATTCATGAAAAGTAAAATTATTATTTAAAATTGTCTTGCTATTGAATTTAATGCATTTGCTTCCTCTAAATAATAAAATGTATTTTTTAATTTCAAATGATATCAACAATGGTAATGATTTTCGTTCAGTCGAAATAGTTATTAAGAACACTATGTGTAGCATAAAAACACTATTTGCGATCTTTAATCCCCATCATTTCAATTTTGTCTTCATTTTTTACTAGGATTTTATCTTAAGGTTTTTCATTACGGAACATTCTGTGTAATAGTGATATACATTGAAATTAATATGATTAATACGATGAAATTATTTTCCAGTTTCAAAAACAACTGATGAACTTAATTTGAAATGGACAACTCAGCAACCTGTAATGCTGTATGACAATTTAAAACTTCCCCAGTTTGAGATTGAAAAAGTGAATACGTCTCTTTGTCGAGAAAAATTCCAAATAGGTAAGAAGCATATATTTTTCATCAAAAAGAGTTTTATTTTTAAGAAAAAAATTTATACCAAAAAAGTGTCAATTCTAATCATCATGCCATTAATCTTTTAATTCTGTCTCAATAAAGGTATTAATTAAATTATTTTTAACAGAAAACTACTTTAAACTGGGATCATTAATTCTTTAATTCGATTATAATTGCAAAACAAATAATAATTAATGAGAAATATATTCGATGGCTGATGAATACAGAGTTCACCATAATATGTTAGAATTTGAAATAAGGCGTTTATTTTTCTCTATTCATTTAAATTTAGCTATCCCTAAGAATATCCATGTCTTCTGAATTGAATATCATCTTAACTTAAGAACCAAAAAAACTCTTGCCAAAATCTTTTTCAAAAATTTACGAACAACATTCCTTTCACTATAATGCTCATGAATAAAAACATAACACATTTTTTATTATTCTACATTTTTCAAAAGCAAATTAGTAAATTTTAAATTGCAATTTTTTATTGAAATTTATTAATTATTAAACTCTAATGAATAAACATGAAAGTAAATCTTTCCTTTTTTTTCTTTTCTTCAATGAAAGGTGAATTAAATAGATTATTTCGTTAAAAGTTATATAGTTTCCTAATTTGCCGTTTCAACTTTTATTAAAATTTAAAATATTTCAAGAAAAAAAGTTTTTTTTTGTGATCCTCAACAGCTGTGTATACATAAAGACAGTGAAACAAATATAATGAAATAGCAAACAACAAAAAACTATCACCAAAACAGAAGACGGCAGTCTTCGCTTCAAATACTCTATAGCATGCCAATATCTTATAATCTCAAATTCAGTTTCAAGTAGGGTCTTGCAGCTCTGCAGATGTCTTTCATTCCTTGGCACTTTTAAATCTCAAATTCGAAATTAGATATGACCTCATACATAAATACCATGTAGGATTTATAACTGACAGACATGTCTTGTTGTTTGTCAAAAAAGAATAGCTATAAAAAGTGTTATTTGGAATTGAAACAAATAAAAGTATGGTAAAGGAGCTATGGTAATTTTTTTTACAAATTTGCCCCAAAAAACAATCTTTAAAATCTCTTAACTTATTTAACAATAATTTGAACGTTTACCTGCATTGTAGTTTATATCTAGAATCACAAAGTTGCTTAATTTTTTTCCATAATACATATTTTTTTTTAAAATTTTGATTTTGGTCAGCTTAATAACTTATTAAATAGTCGTTTATTACAACTCAGAAATGTAGATCTAAATCCAAAGTGAAATTAACTTCAATCTAAGCTTTATTGGAAAATTAATATTGACATATTTTAACTCAGTGAATTTCACTATACTAAAAGAGGCATTTTGAACACAAATTAAAGTAACTAAATTTGATTTATCTGAAAAATACTTTGGTTTTTTTTTTGTAAAAGTTAGTGAAAAACTTGTTTTTCATATTTTGTAACAAACTAAATAAAACATCTTCTTTAATTTCTTTTTAAACCTTAATTAATAATATAATTTATATAAAGGTTTAATTACAAGGATTAATAATATGCAAGGACTATAAAATGCTCTCATTTAATAACACCAAATTTGGTACAATTATAATCAGTTCATATTTCTTGTATTGGAAGAAATAGAATGAGGCCAGTGTGAGCAGTTTGCTTTGGATGATTCTTAAAAGGTATTGATATTATTGTTCAAAGATACAAAGATGATAGAGTCAAATAATTTCTTATTTTAGTTTTAATTTTTTTGTTCAAAACCTTCTTCAAGATTATTTTTTCACTGTTAAGAATGTTCGTGCATCAGAACATTAAAATAATAGCCACTACTTTACATCAAAGTGGTGTTTAACTAGGTGGTAAACTACACCAAAACCAAAGATAGTTGCTATTGTAGTGAAAAAAGTATTTGGTGTAAAGTAGCTGCCACCATTCCTGTTATTCAGTAAAACTAAAAATTATAATTACGCACAGGAATCAATAAATTACTTTTACGATGTAATCAAAGACGAGAATCATAACTTTAGGATACACATACACAATCTTGCTTAAAAGGAAATCCGTTTGTAATTATACACATAGCACATTTAGAAAATTAATATGAATTCAATCACAAATTAAGTGAATAAACGTTAAATATTATAAAATTATTTTATACAATGAGCAGATTTATGTTTGTTTATGAGAGGATAAATATCTTATTCATTACTGAAAGCATAAATGTATTTTATAACAGTTATATAAAAAGTTTGTCAAATAAATCCGACAAAAAGATTGATAGTTATTTAGCTATGAGCCGTTTTTCTTTTAAATCAGGCAAGAAGCACTCATACTTCAACGATACACTTCTTGTATACAAACCGCTATCTTAGCTCCATAGTGACACTTTCTTGAAATTGCACAATTATTCACTTCAACTTCTAATAATGATCCAGAATCATTTTTATGCTTTTAAAATTTGCCCTTTCATCATTTTACATAAGAATTTAGTTAAATAGCTTAAACATACATTAATTATTCACCACATTTACGAAGCTCGAAAAACACTGCTTTTTTCACCAACGATCGTGAAACTGGTGTAGGCTTTATCAATTATTAGTTTTAAGACAAACCTACAATTTTTGAAGTGAGTAAGGACCTAGATTTGGAATTAAATTCAAAGGAATGAATCATTTATACGATTTTCGGAGTTTTACAACCCCAAATTCGGATAGGAGTTACAACACAATTTTTACACTCTGTGAAATAGAAGAGACTTTTTTGAAAAAATGTAATGTTATTCGTAACATACAAAACAACTTCAGTAACTGTCTGCCGATTATGTAACGTAATTTGCATAACACTTAATTGAATGTGGACCAGACAAATAAATTTAGCAAATTCTAAAATAAAAAGCTTCCTTGCAACCAACTTTTAAATAACCAAATTTTCTTCTAAGTAAATAATAATGCAAACATCATTTATTAATTACTTGAATCCTTATTCAATTTATTATTTTTTTAAAGATATTAAAAATTTTTGCCTCTATTTATATGTGAACGCACTGCCTGAAATAATTTTTTATGGAGGTTTTTAACTAGTTAAATCAAATTTATTATTTCACGCTAACATTTAAATACTAATTAATGATAATACCATGAATAAAAACATATACCTTTAAGCCAAACCAAGTTGAACAATTTAATAACAAATGATAAGTATGCTTTATTGTAATAATCTTTAGAAACATTATATATTGATTTAATACATCTTCTACACTTTGACTTTAACAAAGTGTAATTAACTTTTCTAATTTGGACGTTGTCCAAACGTCATTAACAAAATCATGTTTCTTTTTACTTTATTCTTTTGCTACAATACTAATCATGTCAAAGAAAGAAACTAATTTTATATTCTATTTAAATCTTAGCAAATAGCTTCAATTCTCTAAGCAACGCATTTACACAGCCTTTTGAATCCAAAAGTTATGCATTATTGGTTGTTTAAAGAATCACGTAACTCTCTTGAGATTATGCTTAGCAAGTGAAAGTTAATTTTGTATATTCTTCATAAGAAACTTTCTCTTTCATCTATTCGTAAGTTATGCCATAGAGGCTAAAATATTTGATGCGTAAGAATTATTTTGCTATGTTTGAGGAAAATAGAAAATAAATTGAGGTTTTTTGGAGAACAGAGAAAAATGCCTGTTGGTTTAACTGAATTAAGAAAAATCTCTTTTGGAAACCAATAATTGCACTTAACCAACAAAAACTTAGTTTACCTCATTAAGAGGTAGCCACTAGTTTAAAAAACCTTTTTTTTAAGTAACTCCAAACGCGTTATATAATGTATGCCTAACGCTTTATGAAGATATTTGTGACTTACGAATTTCTTTGCAGCTTTTCACAATCCACAGCGTAAACTTAGAACCAATTTCCAGAAGCTAAATTTTTCAAGAGACCGAAATCACAAATAATCACATATTAAATTCAAATTTGAACTATAAAACTAAAATGACCTTACTGCAAATAAGCAATATAATTTCATTTTACTGCAAGTTTCTTTTTGTCGGTGCAAATTTCTGGAATTTATTTTATTTTTTAAATTATCGTATAACCGATGTCGATCAGCCGAATTAATTCAGAGTTTACAACCAATAATGTTCAACTCCTATAGCCTTGAATAAAATACTCTTGTAATTCTGGGCCAAAACAAGAAGACAAGGAGCTTCTGGATCAAACATTGGGACAAAATGGCCATCATAGAGTTACAGGAAGAGGAGAACCTCTCATGGTTAGCCCGACGGCTAACCTACAATTCTGTTACCCACTGAGGATATTTTACATCAGCACTATGTTTGGTGTTAACAGGAAGTAGAATTCGTACCTGGGTTACCTCAGTGAGAACTATTACCTTCTATTACCTGAGTCACCATGGCTCTGAAATTTTGATTGTGAATTTTTATTTCATTATGCTTTATTCTGCTTTTTTAAAATCAGTATAACGAAAAAAATTCTTTCACGTTTCGGATCCGTTATAGAAAAAAAGTTTTTGATTTTTATTCCAACTTAGAATTTTTTCCAACTGTCCTGCTGGTTGGGTCACATAATTTTTAAAAAAGCGAAACTTCATTGAAGAAAAGCTATACAACCAGCAATTAATTTTGTATTGCTTTGAAAGGATAATTTTACACTTATTCGTTATTTGTTATTTGCTGATAACATAAATTTTTGTTCAAAATTTTGATTTTTTTAATGTCTTACTAAAAGAAGCTCAAAAAATATGCTTACTTTTGATGCAGCTAGAAAGGCCAAAATCTGTAAATCAAGTAAATAACTGATGGGAATTTTAAACTATTTTTTTTCCTCAATTGTACTTATTTTTTGAATTTCACAGAAGGTAATACTTTGAAGATATCATTGGCCAATATGTCATGCGTAATTTACTAAAAACCCTCTATAAAATTTTATTATAAATAAATTATTGAAATTAATATGAATATTAATGATCATTTTTGCAAGATAGCTTCAAAAATAGAAAATATAATTTTATATCAGGCTTTTACTAACATTAAACCTCTAAAAGATTTGGTCTATATACCATCGAGAACAGATTTTAAGTTATTTACTGAATAAAGGGAATTATTGAATAAAGAGAATTACTGAATTAATTTACTGAATTGTCTCCCTCAGGCAAGTACAATAAAAAATTCAGAATAAAGGGTGAAGTGCTGTATTATATACACCGATAATTTTTTTAAAGTATTTAAGGGAATTAATTTGTTATATTCAGAATTGCTTTGCGTTTTCTTAAAATTGATTTAGTTGAAAATAAAACCTTTTATATACTGTAAAATACAATCAGGGAGTTCACATTTTTGAGAGAATACTAGGGAAAACAATTGGAGGAGAAAGAAGTACTTATTTTTTATTTATTTTTTCATAAGTAATACAAAAAAAAAGAGTTTTGAAAATAAGACCATAAATAATAAAACAAGGATAAGCATCGATGAAATAAATTATAGTATAAACCAACAATTTTCAAAAGGAATAGAACCGCAAAGTACGTAAAATAACCAAAGTTTTTTCAGTGTTTGTTGATAAGTGTGGTAAAAAATTTAAGAAAAAACAATGCCTATCCAAATGTGAAGATGTTTCTTAATTTTCTGGTTAAAGTTCTTTTACAACTATTTGGTGATTTTAGTTCCCATGAAATAAATTTACAGATTAGAATGAGTCTTAATCTATTGATTTAATCTTAGTAGAAGTACAGTGCACAAAACAAATGGATCACTCTAAATAACTTTTGATCTATTGATCTGATCTTCAAAATTTAGAACTCAATCTTACCTCAAATATGCTAATTGATTAGTGCTGGCAATATTTTAAGATACGAAATCAGACTCAAAAGCGTGCTTTCTTTGAATAAACATACCTCTTTTTCGATGGATTCGGATTTCTGACCATCAAAAATTAGTAGGTAGCCACAATCTGGATAAAAAGATCCCTATAATTTGGTTAGGAGAGCGAGCCAAAGTTTGGGCCTCTTAATCTTAATTTTCCTTTCTCATAATTCATAATATCTCGAGAAACTTTAATTGAATTAAAAATCCGATCATTAGATCAAAAGCTATTCAGGGTGGTCCATTTTTTAGCTCACTGTTCAAGCTAAATGTACAGAAAAATAACGAATATTTTTTTATACATTTCAGGAGAGTACAGTTGCTTAAGAGCTGAATTTTATCTTCGGAGATCCGTAGGCTATCATTTAGTTCAATCATACCTTCCAACCATTCTCATAGTGGTTATTTCGTGGGTGTCATTCTGGCTGGACGTGAATGCGATTCCAGCCCGTATCACCCTGGGAGTGACTACTTTGCTGACCATATCCTCCAAAGGTGCTGGAATTCAGAGCAACTTACCTCCTGTTTCTTATGTGAAAGCAATGGATGTGTGGATGGGAGCGTGTACAACATTTGTATTTGCAGCCCTTCTTGAATTTACTCTTGTCAATTACATGTGGCGGAAACGTCCTGAGACATTACCTGGGCGATCAATGCCAATAATAACAGTTAAATCATCAAAGGTATTGTGATATTTATTTATTATTTATCGTTCAATGATATAATAAGTTAAAGTAAAGACTTCTCTAAGTAATTGAATTAACCAATTAAAAACATTTACTGATGAAACGCTTCTTACACTGTAAAAAAAATCGTGTATCAGAGCACCAAACACGGCGACAACTACTTTACACCAAAGTGTTGCTCCATCTCACCAAATAAAATTATAGTTCTTGGTGCTGTGAAACTCCTAGAATGGTCTACTTGGTGTAAAGTAGCCGCCACCAACCGCCATGTTTGTTATTCATTTGCACTGAAATTTATAATTACAGTACGATATAATACCATAAGAATCAGTAAAGTTATTTTTAAGAGTAGATATAAAGGAAGAATCGGAAAGCTAGATTGCATACATAAAGTAATCTTTAAAATAAAATGAGATTGTAGATCAACCATTGTAGATAAAAAAAACATTAAGGCTAATTCAAGCTAGGCCTTATGAAGCAGAGGCGGTAAGAAATTATGCATTATAAAATTACTTAATACCGTTTACAGAAACTTACATTAATTAAAATATAAATTTCCTTATTACACAACTAAAATAAAACATACTTATTTTTAATAATGAATTAAAAGCAGATGCAGATGCTTCAAAGACAGTCACAAACAATCGTTAACTTGTTATCGATTGTAAACTATTACAGATTGTAACATGTTATTAATTATTAAATATTTAACGTATGATGTAAAGGTGAGTGATCTTATCGATAACTTTTTCCATTATCGGAGATTTAATACACTATTTAAATTGTATATGAAAGCTTGATTAAGTGTTAACTTGAAGGAAAAAAAAAGGTGTTCCTTCGCACCACTTTATAGTTGTTCTATATCACTCAATATATAGTTGCACAATAGAGTTTGCTCAATATCAAATTGGGAGAGATATTAAACCATAATTCTAAGTGTATCGGGAATACATATTCATCATTGTCAACAATCCCAATGGATCAAACTCTGTGATTGGTTATGTTCTACTGCTTATATTCTATTGGCCACAATGGCTATATTCTAATTTATTTGTTGACTTTGTTTGAAGCTATTTAGTTCGTTTAATTGAACTAAGTTATTAAAAAATGCAAAGCTTTTGAAATTCAAAGTATAATTATTGTATTAATTGAAAATTAATGTCTCCGAAATAAGAAGAAATTTATGTTAGAAAGTTTAGAGGAAAAAATACATCACAATAGTCCAAACTGAGATAAATGCACCGCATATTATTACTACGTGAATGGATGTCTGGAAATAATGCTTCTAAGAAATGCCTTTTTTTCTCCTTTTTGCCTCAGTAGTCAGTAATCTTGGATTACTGATTATAATTTTATGCTTTCATCTTATTTCGGTTCTTGATCTTCATTTAAATATTTCAGATTTAAGTAAATTTGTTATTTCCTTTACTTTAATCTGACGTATCTTCAGTGCTCATGTTTTCTTGATGGGAGTGATATTTCACCACCAACAGAAAATTAAAATGAAGAAAGCTGGGTTTTTTTCTTCACCCAAATCATTTTTTATTTTAATTTCCTTTCGTAAAATTTCATCTTAATTTCAAAGCAAAATAATATAAGAATACATTTTTAAAAAATGTTTCTAATACTATTATTATCGTAAAATTAGATAAAATGTAACATAGTTATTCACTTTATTCTTAAACAAAAAGTATTTCTTCTAATAAAATTGCTTTTCTTCAAAAAATGTTTTTATCATAAAAGAAACTGTCTTTGCATCACTTAATTTTTCATCCACACTTTGGCTCTCTATCATAACTCAACTCCATAGCTTGTAGTTTTGACCAGAAAAAAAGTTTTGAAAATAAGAAATCTGAGACAATAATAGATTTTTGATTGACCAGTCATACGAAAACATTCCTAAGCTTGCTCGAAGTCAAGGTAATTCTAAACAATGATGAACCATTGGAGATGATTTCGCCCTCACTGTGGTCGGTGCAATCCTAAAACAGTATCGGATATCACCGGGTATCAATACTGAGTCTCTTCATTGAGATATTAATGCTTTATCCCCTGAAATATCCTTGCTGCTAAAGGACCATAAAAAATCGAGAATCTGCTTCAATATATTTCCCAATGACTCTGAAGATCCTCGATATTGTCTTTCATATGCTTATATTTGGCTTCCAATTATAGCTAAGTATAGTAAGCTTTTTTTCAGATCTGAGGAAATCTTTTATATGCTTAACAATAACTTGAACTTCATGTTTTCTTATATCCTCTAGACTTCGCTTCAAGATTTTTTAAGGAACTTATCTCCCACTTATCCAAAAAAGAAATAAATATTTATTCGATAAAGATATAGTTTCTAATACACCCTTAAAAACATTTAAGGCATCAGCTTTCTAGTCTCTCAAATAGTGATTTAGTAATTACTGGTTAGTAATTTGATTTAATAAGCTTAACTGAATCAATGACCTGCATGCTGAAGGTTTCTATCGAATATGTTTCCCTATTTCTAAAAGAAGAAACATTGCTATAGATCCCAAATTTATAAAAGTCACGATTAAACTCTTTTGCACATTCGCATCATATAACAGTTTATAGCCCTTTTTACATTTATATTTATTCATTTTATAATATTTTCTTCCATTTCGGTACATAATACCATAAAATAGGCGAAGAAATGAAGTGAACTAGTCTCTCACTGTTACTATACTTATAACTGTTACTATACTTTTAACAATTCAAAATTTTAATGTCACATGTTTTATTAGGTTATTAGGTTTGTTTAGAGAGCATGTGACATACATTAGGCAACCGGTTTCCTTAAACGTACTATTTGAAGACGAAGACCTTGCAAAAGCAATTGATTTTCAGTACTTACTACACAGACATTGAAAATAATTTATATATATATATATATATATATATATTAGNCTATTTATTCCAGGAATCTTCGATATATATATGCACGCATATGGCAAAAGAATAAAAATTCTCATTTTTCACACCAAGAAATGACTTATAAAGGCTAACAATATACTTAGCAAGTGTTTTTACTTTCTCTTACTTATTATGATTAAAATACATAAACCAGATATTCTTTTATTGTAACATTCCATTTTATCACCATAGATATAAAGCTTCTTCTCGCAAGAGAGTAATTTTACCACGCACACATTTCATCGTTAGAGAAGCACGCTGTTTTTCTTTTTTTACGAAATATTTAAAGGCAGCAAAGAAAGTGAGCAATTACCATACGATCAAATTAAGATAAGAAAAGTTTTCAAGAAAAAAACTTGATTTTAAAAGCTTTTTCTAAATAAAAATATTTGAGATTTTTTTTAGACTTTTAAACGATAATTATTACTATATTTTTTCAATTTATTCCAGTTGTGAAATATTTTTCAAAATAGTAGTTACATAAGTTAAAGCTCAATTTAATTTGAAGATTTTAAATTAATACACTGAAAAATCTAAACCAAAATGTAAAATTATCTTTATTATAAAATGCGAAATAAAGTGTAATATCTGAATAATTTAGGATCAAATAATCGGAGGTTATCGAACTAAGATTTAAGATTTTGATGGTTTGGAAGACAAAATTACATTAAATATGCTAATTAATTAAAACAGACAATACTTCATGATGCGAAATAAAATACAGAAACGCACGCTCTCAAGAAATAAAAAAAAAATAAAAAAAACAGAATTTTTCGATTGATATTAAAATATAGGGGGTAACTACAGAGCTGAAGAGGTGATTCTATTAGTTTTGTTTAGTGAGTAATCAGAAATTTATGCTAATATTTTTTTTTTACTGTTAATATTTTTCTGCGTATTTCGCCTTTTTTCTGCAAATATTTAAAGTCATTTGAGTTTTCTAGAGGTAGAGATATTATATTCAGCTATGACCAGTTATTTCAAGTAAATGCATTCTCCCGTGGTGCATTGAAACTTGTTTGATTGCACTCTACCCGGAATCCGGAATTTAATGTAGTAAAAATGGTATACATTCAATATTCTATTATATGATTTTATTAATTATGTTTTGGAAATGAACGTGTAATTGGAGATGAAGCAAGTGGAGGAAAAAAAGAAAATGGTGAACTTTTCCCATCTTTTTTTGAACTGAACAAACATATTATAGGAGGAAGCTATTCGGGAAAGCAAAAAACCAAATTGATAACATAGATTTCAATGGCTTATTTAAACGATCTTTACAGAATGTAAGGTTTTAAAGGGGAGCAGATGTTGCATATGATCGTTTTCGACTTAAAGCTGCTATAAAAATGAAATTAGCAAGAAGCCCCGAAAGAAAGAAAATTGGAAAAAATCAGACACAATGTACAAAAACTCGAGAAAAGAAATTAAAAGACTATTGCATTAAATTAAAGAATAGCTTTGTGGATTTGGAAGGTATGAGCAAAACTGAGCAGTTTGAAGAATGAAATGAGTGAAAAATGTATGCGAGTAGTCCTTTGTTAGAAATGCAGGGAAGCATATAATAAAACTGCAAAAAATTCTCTGGGAAAATGAGCAAGAAAACAAACATAGAATGATAACTAACAACACCGTAAAACTCAAAGGAAAAATAAATCACTGTAAATCATAGAGACTGCGAAATGAATATCAAAAGAAATACTGTGGTGAAGTGCTGTGGTAAGAAAAACAAGAGAAACTACCATAGCATGCTGGCTGAAGCTCAGAGAGGAGATGACATTGGTAACGCTAGATAGGTATAAATTATAAAACGCCAGAGAGAAAATCTCCAAAGAACTAATTGCTGTGTTAACGAAATCCAAAGTAGATAGAAGGAGAACTTTGATAAATTGCTGAATGAGGAACAGTACTCAAATTAACGAAAATATAAGATCCCCCTTTTATGAGAAAAAATCTGTACACGGGTTTTATAAATAAAATAGAAAATAGACTTAGTTGAACAGCAGACTGAAAAAAATATTTATTCTAAGAAACATTATTGAACATTTAAAGTTGAATTCAATTCAACTTTATACTTCCGTTTCAAATATTTTGCCTAAGGTTTCCTAGAATTTATTTTTATAAAATACTCAAGATATATGTGTTTGCCATCAAAGTAATCAATACCATTAAAAGTCATTATAAAAATTGTAATGAGAAAATTTTAATAAATAGTGCAAGAACACAGATTTTTATCATCAGTTTAACTGGAGTCAAACAGGGTTGCGTTATGTCTGGAATGCTATTTTATATAATCATTGATGGACAATGGGGTCCACATTAAAAGACCGAAAACTAATATGAAAATTTAATGGAAATCTGGAGAAGCTTGATTACGCAGACGACATTGTATTGTTTTCTTCCAAACTGGAGGGCATGAAGACCAAAACAAATATAGACTATAAGAAAGTGCAAAATAGTTTGAATTACAAATTAATGAGAGGAAGATCAAAATGCTAGAGATTAATAGCAGTAAAAAGGTTGACACATATTTATACATGGAAATAAAATTGGACAAACAGCTAACTCTGAACAATCGAACCCATATATCTCCAACTACCTTGGAGCTAGCGTAACTACCGAGGGAACAACGAACATCCCATCAAGAATTGAAACAGCAAGCAAAATATGTTTTCAGAAAATAGCAGAGAATTAGGAAATAACCTAACTTAAATAATAAACTTAAGTTACAAATTTTTAATGCTACAGTGAAACCTGTGATCTTATATGGCAACGAGTCATGGAAACTCAGAAAGTAACAGGAAAAAAATTCGATACTTTTGAGTTACATGACGAATACGAATACATACGAATTGGCATACGAGTTTCAAGATATAATGGTCAAATAAAATCACAAATAGCGACTTCTATTAACAAAAACTAAATCTTCACAATAGAATTTAATTTAAAAAAAAAACGTAGATTGTCCTGGATAGGACACATGCTAAAGAATATTTCCTAAAGATCCAAGTAGAACAGCTTTTTATAGGTGCCGGATGGAAAATAGAAAATTGGCCGGTCGAGACTAAAGTACAGACAAATGATAATAAAGGGAAAAAAAACATCCTGGGGTAACCTAGTTGGAGGGGGGGGGGGTGAGGCTTTTAACCGGTAGAGATGGAACGCCAAGCTTGAGCTTCATTCGCCGCTTGGTGTAAATAGAATTAAGTCAAGGACGAAACTAAGAAAGACTATAATGCACAAAAAGACTGAAAAAAATTTCACTGAAACACCATTTTGAGTCCAACTTACCAAGTATTGGAGTCATATTTCTTTAGAAATTGATTTCTTTGCTTCCAAAAACTTATGTTTTTGGTGAGTTGAATTTTTAACTATAAAACTATTGACGAAATAAGAAGGAAAAAAATAACAATGAGCAGCAAAATTTCAAAGAAGCAATTTTGGGCAAGGAAAAGTTTTTACAGAGGCCAAAAGAGCGTAATGGAACTTTTGAATTTAACAGTTTGTTTTATTTAAGGCTTTTTGGAATAGACAAAACTATCCGTTATAAAAATGGTTTAGAAAGAAGCTAATGGTGGAAACGGTAACTCCTCTTATTCGTCTTCACAATGCTTCGTCTCGAGCGAGGCTTGTGTTAAAGTAGCTCTTTCGAAAAAAGCTACTTTTTTAAAAAGTATTTCACAATGATATTATCAATTCTATTTATTCCAGGAATCTTCGTTTCAACCAGATAACACGCTGCATATTTGAGTGGAAAATATATCTCAAATTCCAATTCCTAAAAGGTTAAATTCGACCTGAGGTCTAATTTGTGTGCTGTAAGAGCTCCATCCAACATTTTACCGCTACTACAATAAAAATAAATATGAATACTTACATATTAATTAGCATATTTTGAAAATTATCAATTAAAATTGATACAGTTGAATATCAACAATTATTGATACCCTTTGAATATTATCAATTAAGACTGATACATTTTGAATATTTTCAATGAAGATTGATATAGTTCAAATATTATTATTAAAATTGCTATAGTTTAGAATGTTATCGAATTAATGAATGTTATTGAAATGCAGTTTATTTTATTTGAAGTCCATTTTATTCTCTCTATAAGCAATGAAGTATGGGATATTTTAAAAACAATACACCATCAGTTAAAAAGGAAAAAAATATTACTATTAACAGTATTAGGATGTTTATACTTGAGTATACTTTCTGAAAAATTGGAAATTCAGTGTGCAATAATATGGCTTAAATTAACACCATATTGAACGATATAATGAGTCAATATTAATAAGTACGCTAAAAAAGTTTTAACATCGTATATTATTTAAGAATTATCAATTATTTTATATTTTTATTATAAACTTTTTCAAATTTTGCTGTTTCTTATGAAATTACTAATTATTAAAAGAGAATTACGGTTTTAAAAGTGATCAGATGCAGCCAGTAAACTACCCAAATTTTAATTAAATGAGTAATCATTCAATTATCTTACTTTATAAATGTTGAAAACACACCAATAGATTAAGTTATGTAAGTCAACAACTGAGATTCAATTCTTTTATCTTTAGCAGACGGTTTAAAACCTCCAAAATTATATATTCTACCCGCGTTCCGGAAGTTCTTAAACTTAGTATTCTTTCTGCACTCTAGGCATGGGATACTTAAGTTCTTTCGGATAGTAAAGGGGTTGACAAGCAGTCAAGAAAAGTACCCCTGTGAATGTTGATGTAGTGAAAGTAAACGTAAATTTCCGGGATAACGTTGGATAAATTGATATTGATTGAGCGAAATTAGTCTAAGACAATGGCAGTTAATTTTATTTAGTGGATTTAATTTTAATTTCGTTTATTTTGAAATTGATCCTAAGTTAGATATGCTAGCATCATTAATCTTATTTAATCATTAGTGTAGGCTTTTATATTACTTAAAAATTTTATATCAGATTTAGACTTTTAAGATAATTGAAGACAGAAAGTTCCTTAATTCACTTAGCTTTGTATTCAAGTTGAATAGTTTATTGCAAATACGTTTTAAAACCTTACTTTCTTTTGAGTTTAATGAATTGAAGTAATAAAAATCTTACTTTTTAAATTATTCACCAAAGATAAAAGCGGATTTCTGAAGTTTCTGATTTTAAATAAATTTAAAATTAAGAAAATAAAGTTAAGAAAACATACACATTAAGATTCACAAATTATCACTTTTTTAGTACAGGAAAAAAAAGAGAAATTTTATTTCAGCCAAGTAAATCATTGAGAAGGAAGACAAGATGAAAAACATTAAAGCTTGATTCTTCATTGTAGGAAACAAAGAGAAAACTATAAAATCGGAATTAGAAGCATCTTCAATTTTCTTCGGGGTGCTTCAAATTTTAACCAATATTTTTAATTCAACCTTATTCAATTGTGACACCAATTTTGAGTATTATGTTGTTTAATATCAATAAGTTGTTTATTTTTTAACTTCTTTCACTTCATTTTTAGAAAAGAATTGAAAAGTATAGATTATAAAATGTATACTAAAATATATACTATAAATATTAGCTTGAGGCGTTAATGGTTTTCTTTAATGATGGACAAGCGACGTCTTTGCATTTTTTAAAACATTTCCTGCTAGTACAAATATTTCGCCTCTAAATTATTGCTAAAATATTTCTTAAGAATAGAAGATCGCTTGATATACTTATGCTTATACTGATTGCTTATAATACGCATGAACTATTTATGTTAAGGAGAATTTATTATTTCTAATGTGTTATTAAATTGACAGAAGAGATACATGGGTGACTTTTTCATATTATTAATATAAAATGCATAAAAAAAACATTTTTCCTTTATAATATATAAAATACTACATTACTATACCATATTATATTACTATACTATACTGTAATATTACTATACTACATTCTCATTCCCAATGGGAAGCCTAGAAGAGTGGAAGTTCTATTTTAAAAACTCTTTCATTCAACAGATTTCGATATTTTGTTTCACCGCAATGATAATATGCGTCCCTAATTTCTGTACTTTTCTTATTTAGTCTTTGACCAGAACTCTAAATAAAAATATACGTAAAGGGCGTTGATTACGGAACATTTTGTATTAAACATTCACTGTTAAATAAAATGTGAATTTTTGTTTATTACAGGCTGTAATGGATTCCGAAAAAGGTGATGGCTCCAATGTATCTTCTCCTGTCCAAACAACAGCTCGTTTTGACACAAAACTTCACGCCAAGAGAATTGATAAGATGAGCCGTGTAGTATTTCCAGCGTTGTTTCTTGGATTCAATATAGTTTATTGGCTGTATTTTATGTATTAAATCAGACAATATCTGGTTTGAAATTATTTATCCTCGTAATACATCAGTGAAGCATATCTATTCCATAGCACTAAAGAAACTCAAATCAAAGCCTACTGCACTTAAGCGAGATTCTTTTACCATTTTAAATTCCATACTAATAAACTTGTAGAGTGATTTTGTTTTTAAGGAGAAAAAGGTTGCGAGTGTAGATAATAATTTTGCCCCATTTGAAGGTTTCCAGTTTTCCATAGTTGGACTGAAAACTTTGCGTGATTGTCGAGTTGCAAGCAATAATATTCTCGGCAATTTAGTTTAATTCAACTTTATTCCCGAACTCCTTTTTTAAATTTATTTTTTTTCGATTTATATGTATAGAGTATTCTGTTTAGCGAAATTTATAATTGAAATTATTATTTTGTATAGCGAAATTAATTAATAAGTACATAAATTAATTTAGTGCAAAGCACATAAGAAAGTACATAAATTGAGTTAGAAGTAACGAGACAAGCACGTATTTGCCTTGTTACTTCTCTAACTTCATTTGACACTGTGGAAGGATCTTGTTTGGAAAACTATAGTATATCAATTTATGTACGTTCGTTTGTGCTTTCGCCACTTTGTTTTTGCTTTAATCCAATCTTATTAATTAATCTTATTAATTAACGTTTGAAGTTTTCCAGTTTTTCATAGTTGGACTGAAAACTGCGTGATTGTCGAGCTGCTAGCAATAATATTCTCGGCAATTTAGTTTAATTCAACTTTATTCCCGAACTCCATTTCTTAATGTGTTTTTTTCGATACATATGTATAGAGTATTCTGTTTAGCGAAATTTATATTTAAGATAATTATTTTGCTTAGCGAAATTGATCAATAAGATTAGATTAAAGCGAAAACATCGTGAAGGAAGCACAAACGAAAGTACATAAATTGATATACTATAGTTTTCTAAACAAGAACCTTCCTCAGTATCAAGTGTCGAATGAAGTTAAAGAAGTAACGAGACAAATACGTGCTTGTCTAGCTACTTCTAACTTAATTTATGTACTTTCTTATGTACTTTGCTGTAAATTACTTTATGTACTTTGTTTTGAGCTTTCTTCACTTTCCTTTTTCTTTAGCCTACATAGCGCAAAGTTTTACCCTTTCCTTTGTTATATTACAATTATTCTGCTTCATTATCAATTTAGTGCAATAAATTAATAAATGCTGTTCTTTAATTAGAATTTAATAGCAATATAGTGATTTCATCATTCATAGTTAAAAGTAAATTTTCGAATTTAACTAAAAAACATTTTAGTCGAAAATGAATCGCTTAAATGACTTTGAATAAAGTTGTCTCACAAATTCCGTATTTGGTCAAAATTTCATTTCTTTTTCCTTCAATGAATCATTCGGGCGACTTAAATATGGTTATTTAAATCTGAGATTGACCTAACTGTTTAAAATGGAAAACTTGAAATATAATGGATATTAAGTAAATGGTTAAAATAATAAAAATGTATATCTATCTACCTATCGACCTCTCTATCTATCTAATATATATATATATATATATAATGAGAGAGAGAGAGAGAATTTGTTTTTTTAGAAGGAATAAAGGGAAATTTAAATTAAATAAGTCGAGAAGCTTATTACAACACGACATGAACTTTTACAGAAATTGCTATTTTTCTGGATAGAAGTAATGTGTAAATTTCGTTTTCATTTCTGAAGTTGAAAATATAGATTCAATTATATATTTATCTGAAAATTCATTTCATTTTGCATTATTAGAAGAGAAACTTCAATATAGAAGTTCATAAAAAAATGGGAATTTAAAAGTCTTTCAGCTCATAGAATTATGGATTATATGAAGTTTTTAGAAAATATTTGCATATTTTTGATAAACTGTATAATTAATTACTTATAGTAATCAAATATTAATTTTGAAATTAGAGACTTACAAATGTTAATAAAAAACATCAAATGTTAATTTTTTTGCTACATTTCTAAAATTAAATTTTCGAATTTGTACAAATTCCAAATAAGTTAAAAATTTAAATTAAATTTTTTAATTTTAATTTTTTTCTACTATTTTCTTATTTTATAATTTGCTTAGTATTTATATAGTTATGGTTACAGTTTGCTATACATAAAGGCCCGTATAAAGTGTTATACTTCTTTTTTTTTACATATTTAATTTCGTAAACAAAATCACCTGTTACTAAAGTAAAGTTATTTTTGTTTAATGTTTTCAACGTGAATTCGAAAATCTTAATCGTGTCATGATTTTTTACTTAGCAAATGTTTAACATTTAAAAAAATTGAGACATATTTTATGAGAAAAAAGCGTTGCTTTAAAGCATGGCAATGTTAATACCATAGCATTGCTAACGAAGCATTAATATATTTTTAAAAAAAAGAAAACAATCTTCGTTTTAAATGCAAATTCGTTATATTTCCATTGAGTATGCAAGCTATTTTTGAGGATACAAGCAAATTGGGGCTTAATTAAAAATAAGTTAAATGATAAAAAAACACAAAATATCTAAAAACATTTTGTATTTCTTGTTTTCTGACATGGATAATTCATGAATCCTTAAAATAAAATACTGGTTTAATATTTTCTTTTCTTGCATCAATTATTTTTAAAGAAAAAAATCGATTTACTATACCGAATTAACAACAGATGCAATTTTGTATGACATTGAACTGAATGGTCTCATAGGAGAAAATGCAAAATATAATTTGAATCAATTTTGTTTATATATTAGGACTTTACTTTTAAATTGGAAACAATTTTATTTATTTATAATAAACAACAAAACTATACCAATACAATACTGTAATCAGTATTTTCAGAAATGTTATTTTGTATTATACCTTTGACTGTTTCTTAGATTTTTTGATAAGTTTCTTTGTTTTGTCTTTTACGTTAGAAGAATTTTTCAGTACTTAATATTTATGACTATACATTTTAAAACCAACAAATATGCAATTTAAAATTCTCTACCCCAAATTACTAACTGCATTATTTATCGCATTTACAGAACCTGCAGAATTAATTTGCATCGATTTGTAGAAGTTTTGTATCATACGTAAAAGTTATTAAGCGCCTTTTCTTTAATTTTAATTTTACGATGCAGTTATAAATTTTTTCAAAAGATATTACGCTGGTGTGTAACATTATATTATCTTATATTATCAAAAATTTTTAAGGGTAATAAACCATTGATAAAATACAAATCAAGAATTTCACCTAAACTACATGAAAGTAAAGAGAGGTGGTCTTTAAATCTATAGATCTTTATTTATGTAAATTTATTTTAAATGATGTTTTTTGTATAATAATAGATATTCTATACATATTTTGAGTAATAATTTAATTAAATTATTCACTGCAAAAAGTGGTTCTACATGAAACAAAACTTTTTTAAAGTATTCAAAAATATTTATCTAATATCTTAAAAAGCATGACAAGTCGGTTAATCCATAATTCCAGTAAGAGTAAGTTCAGCATTTAACTGGGAATAACGCTTAAATCATCTTTTTGAACAAGTAAAAAAAAGCTTTCTTTTCTTCGATACAAAACATTTTATGCTGTCACAATTGATATTATTTCTGCACTTAGCAAAAATGCATACATAAAATTTTTAGAATCGTGACTTTAAAAAAATATCGTAGCATGTCGAGTTTCATGCGAAGAAAAAGACTTATAAAACTTCTACTCTGAATTCCCACATGGCAATGCGGATTTAAACAATATGGCTTCTTGTGACAGCAAATAAGTAGCGTTTTGATCTCAACAGTGTGAAAATGGTTGACTTATGTTTTCCCCTGGAGATGACAGAATGTCTCTACATTGGATCACCATACACTTTTCAGAATGAGTTTTTCCATGACCTAGACAACAAAATGGGATCAGTTTTCTATTTGCAAACAATGCTACAGTTGAGATATTGCTTAAATATTCTGAATATTTTTCAACTTTAGATGGATAAAACGTAGTTGTTGCTTTGGACCACATTTCAAGATTAAAGGTTTTTCTATTGAAGAACTTGCAAATGTCAAATTCTGAGGAAAATAAAATCTTCTCATCCTCAAAAAATGATAAGAATTCAATTTAAGCTATTTTTATTTTAACAGTAAATAAGATTTCAATTTGGGGAATATTATAATCTTTCATTTTCATTCAGCTATAAATCTTAATTCAGAATCATTTTCATATTAAGAGAGATTTTAAGTTTAGCCAACATAATTTTTTGGCGAATTTTAAAATAAGATTGTATATTACGTATTTATTGATTTCAATAATTAGATAATCAGCATTTTGTGGAAGCTGAAGCATAGTGCTTTTTTTTTTTACCTTTCATTTTAATTTCTTTTAATAAACAATTTATTAAAGGTCAATCAGTCGTAAAGATATGCCATTATAGGACCAAAAACAATAAATATAGTACATTTGAAAAACATGTTAAACTCAAAAAAGTAAAAAATAAAAAAAAACTATTCACATTTTTTTACTCACCCATTTTTGAACCTTTAATATTTACTCTGAACTTTATTTAGTTTCAAGTTGGGTTGGAGTGTTTTATTATTTTATAATATTAACGTATTTTAAGCTTAATATTTTCACTTTTAAATACTTGGTCAAATATTTATTATAAATAAATGCAGATCAGTTATTAGAAAACAATCTTGGACTTATAAATGAGCCCAATTCAAACTATAAATAAGAAATAATATGTTTAGTTTTCATAATTTTTCTTGCTTTTCTTCTACTGAATTAATGTGTTTAACTAAACTATAAAAGATAGAAATTTTTCTATGGCATATAAGTCGAAAAAAAATGAGATTTTCTATTTCAAGAGAATAAATATATTCATTCTATGAAAGGAAAGCTTATTCAATTTGCATAATTCGATAATTGTTTCGATCATCATTGGTGTGCTGTTACTTTGTTGCTTTTAAGAATTTTAAAGTAATTTTGAATAAGGTCTAGAACTAGACATCATTATTAGTTTCAAATACTTGATTAAGGATTCTCATCCGTTCCAATGAGTTCGTCGAAAGATTTCAAGCCAAAGAAAATGAAATAATTTATTTTGCAAGAGGATATCGAGTTTATTTAAATTTAATTACTTTAGAGAATGGTAAGAATATTATATTTTTATCTCATCAGCTATAAAATATTAGGATGGTTCTATACAATTTAGTGATGTACCCCTTACAAAATCTTAAGCCTATTGCCAAATTAGCTTATAAAAACATTAAAAAATGAGAACAAAAACTAAAGAAATTGGAATAAAAACTCAAAAAAAATTGTCGAATTGTGAAATAATTTAAAATTTGCTTTTGCATCTGATATTTTCTTATTTTATTGTTGATCAAAAAAGTTCCAACTCTTTATAATCCTTTCAATAAAACAAGCCGTTTTTTTAAACTTTTAGACTTAACCAGCAATTAAAAAACTCAAAGAAAATGTATGCTTTATAATTGCCATTAAAGCATAATATTTTATATAATATAGTGCTTAGAAGTACAATATGATCAATATTAAGCAACTTTGCATTAAAAGGATATGGTACCACATGTAACTAATATATTGTAGACAATACTAGTCACAACGCAACATGCCTGTTACTTGTCACGTAATTTAAATGAAACGAACGGGAACAGGTGATGGCACGGTCAGTTTTAACTAAGAGGGTTTTAGGGCTATAATGAATTCCAACAATCACCTTTACATTGTTAACTAGAACAATATATACTACATATTTAGTCCACAATTAACGATAGTACTACATTGAATTCATTAGTTTATCTTAATTATGCGTTAGTTCTTTTCCAATTTTTCATCAACTACTTAAAATAACTGTTATTATACACCCACCAATGGC